AGGGCTGTGAAGGGTGACATATTATCAGCATTTAGACAGGGTTTGCTGAGGGCATTTCCCTGTTTCGTCGTCCTTTTGTTTGTCATGGGTGTGTCGTTCAGTGAAAGTCAGCTCTACCAGTCTTCTACTTGGCGACTGGAGAGACCTTCTCCCCCAGGTGGTTAGTCGTCAGCTCAGTCCTTGTCTGATTCGCGTGATGCGCTCTGTCGGGCATTCTGAAAGAGAACGCTGGAAGAGAATCTTAAATCTATGAGACTCTTGAATTTTACACCCAAGGGTCGGTCACTCACCGCCATAGTCCAGCACCTTGCGTGGTTTGGCGTGTCTTCTATAGTCCGTTCTTTCATACTCTGTGAGTTCTCTGATCTCTATATTCGGGTGAGTTCTTAGTTTTTCGAAGGTGTCCGTGGCCTTCTTGTGTATGAGGTCTAGGGCCCTTTTGGATTCTAGATCCCTCCTGATTACGTCGTTTCTAGTGTATCTGTATGCCTTTGAGGCCCATCTCAAGCTGATGTTCTGCTGGCTTTGAATCTTTTTTCTGTTTGTTCTACAGGTGTATCCCCATGCCGTCGATGCGTACATAAGGATAGGTATAATGATAGCCTGTATGAGCCTCATTTTTGTCTGTAATAATAATAATTTGCTTTTACGTTCTATTAGGCAGTTTAGTCTTGATCTTGCTGGCTTTGTTTTCTTGACTACCATGTCCACGTGTTTAGTGAAGGTGGGTCCTTTGTCCATAATTACTCCTAGGTACCTACCTGGCTGAATCGGTTCATGGGATGTCATGTCCATTCATCGTTACTTCTTCTCCTGGGGGGTGATGTCTCTTCTTGAACAGCACAGCCTGTGTCTTCTCTGCGTTGATCTTTATCTTCCATCTAATGCACTATTCTTCTATGTCTTCCGCTGCGTCTTGTAGATATCTTGATATGAGTCCTGGCTGTGTGCTCGTGGCTGATATCGCTGTGTCGTCCGCGTAGAGGGAGGGACATGGTAGTATTTTGGGTTTTCGCGATTTCTGCGGTATACAGGGTGTTATTGAAATACACGTACATATTAAAATGGGGAATAGTATGTAATGACCAAAAACGATTGGCACCAATTTTAACTTCAAATTCTAAAATTTAAATATTGGGGAAGAGTCCCCTTTTCCGACCTACTAGTTTCCATATTTAAAGAAGTAAAATAAATCGAAATTGAACTTACCCATAGAAATTGCACTGTTGCCGTAGCAAAACCAATTAATTCAAAATAAAGTTTATTACAGTAATTGTTCAAAATGCCGTCCATTATGATTTACACACACTTGCAATCGTCTTTCCAAAGAACTTTGAACATTAGAAATTAGTCTTGGATTTTGTCGTAGTTCCTCGGCTACCGCATTAACTTTATTGGTTAATTGTTCAACACTATTAATAGGTTCATTATAAACCAGTTGTTTCATGTGACCCCACAAAAAGAAATCGCATGGATTTAAGTCCGGAGATCTCGGAGGCCACTTAGTAGGTCCATTTCTGCCTATCCACTTTTGAGGAAATCTAATGTTCAAAAACTGCCGTACGTTTAAATCAAAGTGAGGAGGAGCGCCATCTAGTAGGTACCACATCCGTTGCCTTAATTGTAACGGTATCTCTTCTAGGAGTACTGGCAAAATATCTTCTAAAAAGTGGAGATATCCTGGCCCATTTAATCTGTTCGGGAGAACATAAGGCCCGATTAAATACTGATCTATTATGCCAGCCCAAACATTTATTGAAAATTTTCTTTGATGCCCAGTTTCCCTAATGGCGTGAGGATTTTCATCACTCCAAATATGCGTATTGTGCATATTGAACACGCCATCACGAGTGAATGAAGCCTCGTCAGTATACAACAATATTTTTAGAAAATCAGGAATATCAACACATTTTTTAATCATCCATTCACAAAACTCCACTCTCTTTTCTTCATCACCTGGATATAAGGCCTGGACTTTTTGGATGTGATAAGGATGTAAACCTTGTTCTTTAAGTGTCCGCCACACAACAAATGAGGACACTCCAATTTCAAGACCTAGTCTTCTACAACTTAATTGAGGCCGGTTTTCAACAGCTTCCAATATTTCTTCTTCGGCCGCCAATGTTCTTTGTGTTCTTGTTCTCCCTCGATCTGCATTGACACTCTCAAATTTTCCATGGTCTCTTAGATGCTGAACAGTTGAAATAAACGTACGACAGTCCGGAATTCTCCGATTTGGAAACCGTTCGCGATACAGGATTTGTGCTTGCCGAGAATTTTCTCCAGCTGCCCCATAAACCAGCACTATATCCGTTAGTTCAATATTCGTAAATAGTGGCATCGTAAAAAAATATTTAAAAGTAATCGTAACAACACTTTTTACCAACTTGGAAATGACGCGCTCGTGTTAGCCAGATTCGTAAATCAACTAAAATTTTAATAATCTATAGTTTCAAAAATGTATAGTTTAAAAACAATCATTTATCAAATATTCTAGTTTTTTGATAACGAGGGTAGTAAAAACCAGTCTTCGGAAATAGAAATTAATTCGAAAATCTTGGCAACATGGTTATTTCTTACAAGACTAGTTTTCTTATCATCTGACAAAAACTTGCATATTAATTACTGTTGATGTTTAAAATAGGTAAATAAACCTAATTTATATAGGTCATCCTCAACATATCAGTGAAGTACGTTTGTTTTAGAATTAATTTTCAAAAATTAATAACTCCCTTAATAAGGGGTATTTTTAAAAAATAATATTTTTCTACATTCAGTGGGGATCTGCGCAATACCCAGTTTTAATATGTACGTGTATTTCAATAACACCCTGTATATGGTGTACAGCAGTGGTGACAGTACCGCCCCTTGAGATACTCCTGCTTCTGGGATTCCAGGTCTTGATAGGACATGTCCCATCTTGATCCGGAACTGCCTTCCGCCGAGGTACGACCTGAGCAGCCCTATCAATCCTGCTGTGAACTCTTGTTCTTTCATTTTGAAAATCAGCCCGGCGTGCCATACTCTGTCGAATGCCTTAGCGATATCTAAGAATATGGTGCCTGTAGACTGATTTCTGTTGAATCCTCGACGAGTCTTAGGACTTGAAGTTCGGTCGAGTGTTCTTCTCTGAATCCGAATTGATCGTCGGGGATGATATTCAGTTCCCTTGTTTGTTCTCTTAATCTTCTGAGGATGATTCTTTCCGCTATATTACTCATAGCTAATGGGCCTGTAATTTTGCGGAAATTTGGGGTCCTTGTTGGGTTTCCGTATCATAATCACTTCCGCTTATTTCCACAGTCTAGGGAAGTACTGAGTTCTTAAAATCCCGTTAATGATGGCTGTAAGGTAGACTGTGGCTTTCAGCGGGAAGTGTTAAATCGCTCGGATGGAGATGAAAACTGGCGTCAGGATCATTGACTTTTATAGCTTATCGAACTGTCCAGATTTTTCTTGACAAGGAATGACATTTATGGACTTCTATCTTCTTGTTTTACTCGTACTTTTACTTATCATGACCGCAGCACACTGTAGGATGATGGGTAACATTGCACTTCTTTTTGTATTCGTACGTTTCCTATAACAGCCACAGGCTACTGCAGGGTGCAGGGTAACAATATAATGACAGTCAAGTATGCTATGGAATAGACATGACATGAAGCTACTAATTTAACATAAAAGCAATCAAGTAGTTTGTTATGTCACGAAATAGAGCGCATAACCTCTAAAAATACTAATTAATGTAAAGTGACATGTGTCAAACTTACAAGGCCAAGCCCATTAAAAAAAATTAACCATCCATAAAAGTTTAATTATAATAATTGTCTGTTCTTATGCAAACCACTAAGTTGTACGTTAACCAATGCACCAAGCAAAATAAAGATGAGACGCTTAATTATATTTTCATCTGAGTGGTGTAAAGAGAGTAAATCACGACTTACCTGTCTACCTAATTGGACGCATGGTTATACCTCTACCATTAGTGATATAGCATTGTATTGTTCTATTTCTATCTATTCAACAGTATTTTGTTGGAAAATTTACGTACTATACAGGGTGTTTCCGAACTTGGCGTCCAAATTTGTAGGGGTGGTAGTTTGCATAATTTGAGGGCGATTGGCAGATTTCATTTTTCTAAAAAAAAAATATAATAAACAAAATAGAGCAATTATAAAAAAATCAAAGAGTAGGTCCTACCCTGAGCGCGTAGCGCAATAGTCCTCAAAAACAGATTCGATTTGCAATTTTGTCGATTCTAAGAGTAGCGCGCGCGAGTCAAGTCGCTCCCATCGCTGTGCAGGACCGTACCTGTTTATAATTTTTAATTATTTTTATTTTAAATATTTTGGAAAAATGAAATCTGCGAATCGGTCTCAAATTATGCGAACTACCACCCCTACAAATTTGGACGCCAAGTTCGGAAACACCCTGTATAAGGTGGGCTATTTAAAGATTCCTCCCTCTCTTATTTTTGTTAATTGAGATATCAGAATGAATTTTGTTTTCTTTGATAGCTTGAAACAAGTTCTTTCTTATAATGATGAAATGATTTTTTTTCAATTATTTTGTTATTATTTATTTATTGATTACTATTTAGTGACTGTGATATCTGATCTCTATATTAAAATTGTATTATGTTTTAATGGACTCTGACCCGTAAGTAAGTAAATAAATAAATAAATAAATAAATAATGCAAATGACAACCCTGTCGTCATTCTTCACACATTCTATTACTGCCTATTATTTCCAGATTTGAGTATAGTTTAGTAATACTAATACATTTAAAATACCAGAGCTTTTTAATTAACAGCTGGTCTTAGAGTGAAAGTAAGAAGTAGGGCCCTCGAGAAAGCTTACTAATTATTATGCCTGGAAAGTTGTCAGGTTACATAAATGATTAAAATTATGGCACAAACTTATGTTATACAACATTTCAACTAAAAATAGCTAAATTATTAACGAATTTCAAAAATGAAACATTACCTGTATTTTTCAGTTATTGCTGTCAAAAGATGCTCCTTGGCCTATGATGGATGGTGGACTCCTCTACAATCCTCCTAACAACATTTCAAATCGACATCCAAAACTCTTTAAAAATATAGAAAATTGTGTCGATTCTGACATACAAACTGACAGGTTCGAATTGAGCAATAAAATATTGAAAGACTTGCATTTTATATTAAGGAAAGCAAAAATAAAAAACCTTATTTAGTCGTTAAATAATTTAATGTTGCGATTTAGTGGAAATAAAATATTTTTGCACAAATTTAAAATATAATTAAAATAATTTAATAAGGAACAATAGAGGGATATTGCAAGTTCACTTACGGTCAGCCACTATTAGTGCCGCTCTTATTTTGATATCTGAGCATGCGCAGATCGTTCTAGGACTGACTTTATTAAACATAGTGCCTGACCCTAATTGTGAATTTTAAACGACATCAAATAGTGGCGACTTTATTAGTTCGAAATTTGCTAATATTAAATATTTAAATATCATATGACTTTAGAAATATGTATACATACAAGGACCATAATGTCAAAACTTCAGTTGCGCAATAAGTTTAATTTTTGCATGGAATTTATTTGCCTCTAATTACGTTGGCACTATTAGTGGCTGACGTTAAAAACATTTGCAATATCTCTATTGCAAGTTCGTTTAAGGTCGGCCACTGTTAGCGCTATTCTTATTTTGACATCTGAGAATGCGCAGATCTTTTTAGTTTTAGAACTGACTTTATTGAAGATTTATAGATGTTTATGGGCAGCAAATATTGACAACTTTATTAGCTTAATAATATCATCTAATCTTTTAAAATGGTAATTTCTAATGCATCTTCGATATAATGTACTATTATTAGTATATTCACCCTACAACGCTCTTACCCCATAGAGCTCTCGTTAATTGATTAATTTTAAAGGAAAAACAGAAAGTTTCAAAGACCGTGTAACACAAACAACGAGCCACCATTTCCCTCTTGAAAACAACAACTCTCTTGGCCTTGTTATGAAACGCTACATGTACAACCATTTTATATTGTATCAATAGGTTATAGAAAAACAAAAAAAAACGGTTATTAGCAGAACAAATGAACTGGCAGTAACGAATATGAATATTCAGTTTTAATGTATTATTAAATTAGAATTTTAATTTTGGGCTCTAATGGTATTATAGAAATTTTTTATTATTATTTGAGCCGTTTTTGAACTATTTCGCCAATAGACAGACCGACAGAATGGGGAAATATGTTTTTCGTAATCTAGGGACCCTAATACGTGAAAATCTGAAATAATCTCAAAAGGTGACTTTTTCACAATTACAATGCTATTAAGCCATAAAAATCATGTTTTTAAAAAATGTGACATGGCATCTCACTTGTGTCTTCATTTATTTCTATTATTATCATTATTATAAATAATACCGCAACAGGCATTGTATTATGAATAGCTGAAATAGAAAATAATTTTCAACACTCTAACTTTGATTTTGCTTCCTAAGGAGAAAGTCATACTTGGACCGTTTCGTCCTTATTAGAACTCATCAGCAAGCATTAGACGTATTTTAGAAGGGCTTAGCGAGATACAGAGTGTTAAAAGTTTGAAACAAAATCCCAAATTTAAGCTCTTTAAGGGTTCATGTTCCTATATCAAATTTCATCAATTAATGAGAGCTCTCTGTGGTAGAGCGTTGTCGGTCGATTATACTAACACCCTGTATACAACAACAAAGAATTACTATAATTTAGTTTTTAAAATGAGGTTAGAAATTTGCATAAAGACAAGAACTCTGATGTAAACTTCAGGTTTGTAATAAGTTTTATTTTAGCATGGAATTTATTTGCTTCTAATTACATCGTCACTATTAGTGCCTGATTTGATAGATATTTGCAATATTTCTCTAATCTCTATTGAAAAAATTTAGTCTTTAACTTAAAATAAGGATTTTTATTTGCTTAATCCTGTAGTTAATTTGTGATAAATCGAGAGTATCTAATTTTAAGTATATTGTTTGTGTTGGTATTATAAAAAAAAACTGAAAGAAGTACGCAAACAATAATACAAAAACTATTTTGTTTAAAAAATTTACAATGAATATCCGATCTAATGAAAGCCATTTAGATATTTTAGGATTAGGAATTGACACCAAATTTGTATAAAACTGAGAATCTATCATCTTCCAAACAAACGAAAATCTGTAATTTTAAAAAAGTATTTTGTAATAAACTTGTATTAGTTCTAAAAATAGTAAACAAGCAGGTTCTAGTACAATTCTTTCTTAAGCGGGGTTTGCATGTGTCGATTTTCACTAGTCGGCAACCAAATCTCCTCACAAGGCCGCACAGCCACACCATTTTTACTGTTAATAAAAATATAAAATGCCTGATTTGCTAGCTCGAGAAGGAGCCTCGAAGGCTCTTATTGGCTCAGAACTCTTATGTGGTGTCACAAAGACAACTATCAGAACATGCACAAAGCAGTGGGTGTTTAAAAAATCTCAGAAATGTTGTAAAAACTTATCAGGGCAGACAGGTAAGCAAAGAAGTTCTTAGAGGATCATCGCAAAACTCACTGAACATCTACTAATAGGAAAAATACTAGAGTACTAGTAGGCTTAACAAACATGTGTATAATATCGGTTTGGTAGAAAAGACCTTATGTCGATTCTGCTAGGAAAAAGAGGAAACTACAGTAAATGTTTTGAGCTACTGTGAAGGGCTATCAAGACAGATTCCTTACATGGCCCACAGTCCTAATTAAGTCTAATTCTAATATCAAATGCGACAAATTCATTGTTTGAATATGTTGGGCAGAACAGATGTTCTACACATACACAAGAACACCTTAATGTGTCGAGCAATCGCCTGTAAGTATAGTTGCAATAAAACTGCTAGATCAACATGTATTCAGAGCTGGGCGTTCGAAACCTCCAGTGGCCAGGAGAAGGTTTTTGTAGATAATTATGCGAGATGAATATTTGCATATTTGTAATTATTTTAACATCAATAATAAGAACGGTAAACGGTCCGCTTTCAAAACTCGCCTAGTCGTTTACCTCTCATCTGTTGTTACGGCAATCAGGCACTCATTTTAGACTGATCTTTGGCGTGGCAACTATAATCATTTTCACGGTCAATTGTAGACTCTAGCTCTAGTTCCTGGTATGTCATTGTTACATTCGAGCCATATGCAGTAGAACCAGTCTGACGGTTGTTAGCTTTTGAAATTTAAAATGTGAAATAAGTATTTGGTTATAGATTGTCATTTGTAATTCGCCACGGCAAATAATATTAGGCGTCCCTACTCACAAAAGTGTAGTATTATTATTTTTAATTTGATATTATCGCATCAACTACTTAGGTTATAGGCCTCGTGTTCGGTGTAGGCTTTTTCACTGTTTCCCAGCGTCACATTCTTAAATTAAAAGGTGTTGTAGTTGAATGTAATAAAGTTAAATTTAATTTTGATGATGCCTTTTAGTGCATTTCGATACGCACGTGTGGGCGCCAGCATGTTAAATATAATCTCGCTATGTGGCTTTATTTTGTTGATCGGCTTTGTTCTTCCAGTTCAAAGGTTCTACATAATTTTCGAACTGGATACTACAAGTAACCTTTGATTTTGCTCGTATCTTGTGTGACATATGGCTTTGCGTTTATTTTATTTCAAGTTTTTTTTTTTTTTTTGTTTAATTAGTGGTACGTTGAAAAGTAAAAATCGTCAGAATTTTTGAACATATCGTTACCCTGATTAGCAAACATCGTAACTCCACTTTTTGCCAAATTCACATTTTCATGCCAACTTGTAGAGAAATTACATGTCTCAAACCTCATAAATCCGGAATAATATTATTCTGGATTCCGGATTCTAGAATGGTTTGAAACATGTACAAGTTGGCATGAAAATGTGAATTTTGCAAAAAGTGGATTTATGAGATATTCAATTCTTAACAGCATTTCTAAATAACATTTTTCGATTAGCTTCTAAACAAAAATCATAATTTTGTAATTGCCGGTATGTTTTGCAATTATGAAAATTTCATTATTACATTTTCTGTTTGGACCAACTTTTATCAATTATAACATTTTGTGAGAAATTAATAATAGGTTTTCTTATATACACATTATTTCCTTGCTAAACTATTTTATTCATATTCAATTGACAAATATATTATGACAAGAATAATAAAAATAGATGTACACCCAATAACGTATGCGAGTATACTGTCTACTATTCCTAACTGAAACATATCAGGTTTCCATATAAGTATAAACTTATTGTGTCACCCTGTAGTAATGTTTTTTTAAAAACAAAAGGGTATTCTTCTCAAATGTGGTCAATGTAGTAACAAAATCATATACCATCATATAAAAGTGAAACGGTACCTGGTTTCGACGAATCCGCCATCATTCAGGCCTACAAACAAAAAAGTGGTCTAAATAGACACTGATAATAGTAAAGGATGAAAGCCTATCTTAGGAAAAGGATAGAAGTATATGAAGGGGAAAGGGAAAAATTAAATGAAAATAGGTATTAAGGTATAGTTCTTCCATTATCAATTGCAGAACATAAAAACTCGTTAGGAACCTTTACCGACAATTTTGTTTGATCTGCCATAGGCGTAGATACCTACCTCATTTTATAAATTTATTTTATAAATACTTTTAATATATATCATATGCAAGAAAGTATTCGTTAAAAGGAAATCGAATCATTATAAATTGGACGTTATTTTACGCCTTGATTTAGACAGATGCACTTAATTGTAATCTTACTTGGACTTAAAAAAAATTATTATAGCTCGTTAACTTGCTACAACTGAATATTACATTATAAAACGTAAAAAAGCGAGTAAAGTGTACCTGCCTGTAAGGGCGTTTGGTTTAAACAGGGTACCAGACGTGAACTGAGCAATTTTGGTACCACATTCTTTTTTTTCTGGAAAACGAAATTTCAAAGAAAAACCATAAAGGAAAATAAATTCTTTGCAAATAAAACAAAAGAAAAAAACAATTCAATTCTAAAGTATCTTAATAAATAATCATGGCAGTCTGAATCCTCTGAACTAGAGTCATCATTTGGTTGAATTATGATGGGTTGTAAAGAGGGTAATACTACATACTCATCTTCTTCTTTAATAACATGTTCGACACAGTTTTTCCAAAGCTCTTGGCGGTCTGCTGCTAGAACTTTCTTTACGAGTTCTACAACCTC